CAATGGCAGGACCTTACCAGTTCAAGAACTGACCAACTCCACCTTAAGACACCCTCTCAATCAATAAATTACCTTCATAAATAGAATGTCAGTGGTTAATGTTTTACTAGTGTAAAATAGACTTTATCTTAGTCCTCATGTAAGTTGCTATGAATTTAAAATTCAAAGGTGTGAACAGTGCTATGTTATCATTCATATAAGGGTAGCAGTATTGTTCTTCAGAAATAAAAGCAAACCAAAAATTTCCACCATTATATCTCCAGTTAATAATATGAACAAGTTCAACAGTGAGACAAGATTTTTCAAAATGGGATTTTACAAAACAGAAGAAATTAAACCATATCAGTGTATGCTAAAGACATTATTACATGAAATGCTTATTTCATTAAACAGTAATACTAGGATATGAGAAAAAACTGAACACAGGAACCAATAAATAGTTAAAACTTAATATTTATAAAATGTTAAGAAATCACAGAACATTGCTGCAGATCTCCATTTGAAAAATTAAAAATATAGCCACCAAATACAAATGAAAACTACAACACTCACAGTTTTGAATGAAACATTTAGTCATCACTTTATATTATGTGGTGAAATCAGTAACATGAAAAAAAAATCACGCATGCTCATGTATGCTGCCGCTTCTTCGTTTTCACTTTTCAAGACAGCATTTCTCTGTATAGCCCTGACTGTCCTCTAACTCACAGAGACATTCCTCCAGAGTGCTGGGACTAAAGGCGTTCGCCACCACCAATGGGCTATGTGCATGCTTCGTTTTCCAGCCACTGGAGAGGCTGAGGCACAGACCTCACTGGATTCCAAGAGCTTGAGGCCAGGCTAGGCAACACTATCCGAGTTTCTCAAAAAGCAAAACGAAAAAACAATGATATGGAAGGGGTAAAAACAGTTTCAGATTTGAGAATGACTTGAGACCAAATGAAGGCTAACAGCATGCATTTAGAATAATAATGTTTTCACATGGTCATAGCATGTTAAAAAAATAAACCTTTTAAAATGTCTTATAGAGTTTACAAAACCCTTATTTGAACAAATGTTAACTCTAGAATATTAATCTTGATTGAGAATCTAAAAAAAGACAGGCTCTTTTCCCCCAACACTCTTATATAGATCAAGCTGAACTTCAGTTGATATACATTGAGAATGACCTGGAACTTCTGATCCTCCTAACTCCAGCTCTCAACTGCTGGATGACAGGCATGAGCCATGATGCTCAGTGGGCCAAGTTGTGATAAAATAATTTGTTTTTTAAATAAAATGTTTAAATATTACCAAAGTATAAGACTACTTTGAAACTACAATATTACTATCTCAAAACACTAAGTTGGAATATAAGTCTTTAAAAGAAAACAAGAAACTATGAACCCATTTCTCTTGCACAAATTTCTTTAATAAAGCAAATATATTTTCTTTTCTACCTAATTACCATATTCTAAAAAGGATTCTTCTACAGGAATTTCTAAAAGACAAAGTTAAATAAATGTATTCCTAAGGAATACTATACATTTATAGTTCTGTCTTAGCTGAACTGAGGTGCGCATGTGAGCAGTCACAACTACCTGGGAGGCTGAGGCACAGGGACCACTTCAGACCAGTTTAAAGCTGTGATGGGCGCCATCATGTGACTCCCATCTCAAAGCACAAAACAAAAATTACTCTTACTTCAAAATAGCCATATCTCAAATGTTCAATGGGAGAGTTTAAAATTATCTTTTTATAAACTACTCATAGCTATGAAATGCAAGAAAATCATTCAGTCTTTCTGGATTTCTATTTTTTCACATAACAAGGACCAAAATCTACCTTGCAAGATTAAGAAATGCGGAGAATATATGTGGTGCCTTCCATTTTCACATCCAAGTGGTGAGACTATGACTGAGCAATTGTTCTGAAAAAATAAACTGGCATGACCCAGAAAATGGAACATTTGCTGGAGACAGAGAAATCCTGTCTCGAAAAACCAAGGGGGGGTGGTGGAGGAAAAGAAACAAACACCTACAGCTACCAGTTCCTTTCCTGGGTCTGTGCATTCTCATTTGGAATGTGACCATACAGCTAAGGAATTGGGAATTTTAATTAACTTAAATTTCAAAGTAAATTCTTTTTTAAAAAGCTATTTGTGTGTGTGACATGCACAGGAGTGTCTTGGGGGTCAGAATAGGATATTGGACCCCTGGAGCTGAAGGGATAAATGGGTGGCGATTGTGAGCCATCTGGGGTGGGTACGAGGAACCCAGCTCAGGTCCCCTGGAAGAGTGGCCAGTATCAGAGTAAATTCTTAAATCAATTATAAGAAATACTAAAGTGTCTTTGCAATTATCTGGGTGTATGAATATACTTTTTTCAAGTATATTTTTTCAACCTTATAAAATACAAACACAGACCAAGTATTTATATTTATGAACGCAATATATATGTATATACACTGTGTGTGTGTGTATATATATATATATAGTAAATTTTTAAGACAGTATGAGAATACAGAATAATTCATTAATAATACTGTACATATATATATGTATCCTGGAATACACATTATACATAGGCCCTGGAATTCAGTCTGTAGACTAGGCTGGTGTTGAACTTAGAGATCTGCCTACCTTTGCCTCCCAAATGCTAGGATTAAAGGCATGCACACCACACATGGCTTCAGAGTATATCTTTAAATGAGAACATGTTTAATATATTGGGTTAGGTTTTTGTTTTTTTTTTTGTTTTTTTTTTTACTTTTAGTGTCTACTAGAAAATTTAACATCAATGTGTGGCTTCCTGCATCTCTATTGTACATCATTACTTAATAAAAATTTCAGCATATATTTGACAAGGGATATATTTTACCATATTTTTATGAGGCACACATAACTTTTCACTGGGGTATGAGCAACCCCTATCTTTTTGTTCGTTTTTTGAGATAGGGTTTCTCTGTGTAGCCCTGCCTGTCCTGGACTCACTTTGTAGACCAGGCTGACCTCGAACAGAGGTCTGAGCGAGCACCTTGCCTCCCTGAGTGCTGCGATTACAGGTGTGTGTGTTATGTCACCATGCCTGGCTTATTTGTCTTTTTAATCTGTAAACTTTTTTTTCTTGCATTACTGTAATAGTTACCATGGAAAAAGAAACCAAAACCAAAACCAAAACAACAAAACAAAACAAACAAAAAAAAAACCAATAAAAACTTCTTTTAATATTTTTTTTCGTGGTGGTTTTGCAACAGAGTCTCACTGAGTAGCTCAGGCTGATCCTGAGCAGGAATACTGTGTTTTTAAAGCCTGCCTCTGCCTCAGAGTACTGGGATTACAGGCCTATGCCACCCCACCTGGCGAGCCACCCCTATCTTATAAGAATACTGTTTTATTTACTTGAGGCAATTTCACATAACTCAGTCTCTTCTCAGACTAGAGACATGATCAGGGATGACTTTGAATTCTAATCCTACTGTTTCCAGGTCCCAGGTCCTAGGAGTACAGGCCTGAGAATTATGCTGGGTTCTTTTTTTTTTTTTTTTTTTTTTTTAAGAATCTTTATTTAAAGCCTTATTTATATGTGTGTGCATCCATGTAGAGGTTAGAGGACAACTGAAAGGAACCGGTTCCTTTCTCATACCATGGAAAAAGTGAGTTATGCTGACTTGAGGACTCAGTGAAAGGAAAGCATCCTACTTTTAGAACTACTCGTTTAAGGACACTGAAGAAGTAACTCAACAAAGAATGCACATATAACTACATTAAATTTAAAAGCCATCAAGAAATGAATTCCAAGATTTGGTGATGCTCAACCTCCACTCAAGATGGCACCGAAGAAGTGTTGACTTCATTTCCTTAAGGAATAAGAATAATGTAACTTCCACTACATGTTATTTTACAGTTTACCAGGGGCTTTTAGGTTATCTTCCTCATTTAAAAACAGATGACCAGAGCCAGGAATGGTGGCGCACGCCTTTAGAGCCAGCATTCAGGAGGCGGAGGCAGGTGGATCTCTGTGAGTTCGAGACCAGGCTGGTCTACAAAGCGAAACCAAGGCTACACAGAGAAATCACCCCTTTCCCCCCCCCCCCAAAAAAAACCCTGAGATGATCATACAAATACAAGAAAATAAAGACAAATGAACTCTTACTGCTATTATATCCCTACTAATCCTAGGAATATGAAATAGACATTTTGCAATTTGGTTTTTCCACTTAAGTATCGGAGCATAGATACTTATACTAGGGAAACCATACTTAAAAAAATACAAGATTGTCAGGCAACCGCTGGAATTATTTCTAGTTTAAGTATTTTCGGACCGGGGCTGTTCTTTATCCAAATACAACCCAAAAAGCCAGAAGGTGAGGATAAAGTTGCATGTGGCAGCGAAGGCGTGTAAAAAAAAAATTCTCTGGGATTGAACTACCACAATAATTCTCACAGCATCCTTCATCCGCCTCCGCTCAGCCCAGCTGCACTCGGCTGCAGCGCTCCCCTGGCTAGGTCCCGGGTCTCCTCCCGGTCTGAGCTGGTCCCGCTCAGCACTCTCCACTTCTGCAGTTCCCTGAGCAAAATTTAGATTATTCTCACTCCAGATGTCTCCCACCAACTCCCTAAATTACCGGACAGCAATCTGACCTCTCAGGATTCAACCTTCCAGCCGGAGCCAACCGGAAACGGACGTTGTCACTTCTACTTTCTTACGGCAGGAAAGCGGAGGAGATGTTAAGCGTTCCGCTCCCGGCGCAAGGCTCCTAGACGAGGTAGAGATGACACGAAGGAGACTGGAAGGCGAGATGGTTTCCCACTGTTTGCAGCCGGAGTCCGACTGAGGTAGGGCTTGCCGAGGAGAAGGGTGGGGAGCCGTGTTTTCCTTGGCCCCGGACGGAAGCTTTTGGCGGAGCACCGGGGGGGCGGGCCAAAGCGGCGGCGCAGCCAATGAGAGCGGCTGTTGTTCAGCGCGTGGGCCCGCTCAATGAGAGGGCTGGTTGTTCTGCTGCAGTTGGCAGGCTGCTGCGGGAGGCGGTGGCGGTAGGAAGCCTGAGGCTGCGGGGTGACAGGTAGGCGGCGGTGCCGTCTTCGGCTGGCGAGGCGGGGGCGCGCGCGGAGCCTGGGGAAGAGGGTTTCCTTCTCCGGCTGCGGACACGGCGGCCGGGAGCTGACGGAGGTGAGGTGGGGAGGCGACACGGACGGTTGGCGGATCCGGAGTCCTGCGGACCTGGGGACGGGCTCGGGAGGGTCGCGAGGAGCGGGCGGCTGCCGAGGCGGGTCGGGGCTGAGTGTTGTGGGGCGACTTGGGGCCCCGCGAAGGCCGTGAAGGTGTCGGTGGCGCGGGCTGGGGCGGGAGGGAGGCGGGAGCGAGACCCAGGTGGAGGGGGCTGAAGGAATGTCTTGCGGGGAGCCGCAGGCTAGAGAAGGAGGCGGCGTCGCCGACACCTGAGTGAGAGCCCCGGGGTTGCTCCTAGGGCCGTTTCCTGGGACAGAGAGCGATGCGGAGAAGAGGGACATTTGTCGGTGGTCAGAGCTAGCGGCTGTACATTATGTAACCCACGGCAGTTATTTTCCCCAACGATTCGGCCGACCCTGGTGGGAGAGGAGCTCTGGCAGCCCATTGACACCGCTGAACACTTTCTTGCTGTCGTTGGCTCCGGTGTTTTCTCTACCCAGGCAGGCTCTGTAGGAGGAGGACAGCCTGAAGGCGAGAGTAGTCACGAAGCACTTATCCCAAATATGGGCTTGGGTTGAGAGACGACACGACGTTAGCCTGAGATGAATGTTGTCAGATTCGTGTCTTGTAGTATACGAATTTGCTTTGCGTCTTTAACCTTCAGAAAAGTGGAGAGCCTTGTAAATCTGTAGAAGGTAGATGCAAATTAGAAAACGAACAGTAAATTGGTAGACCACTCGCCCGCCCCCAATGCCTGGACGTTAAGGACTGTGAAAATAAGACGGAAATCTAAAACAGAGGAGGGTCGATTTTTAAGTGATTTGCTTCGTTAAGTCTGAGAAGCTAGTTGTGAGTTATGTCTTGGGTTAAAAAAAAAAAAAGCTCTTTGAATGTCATTGACTTAGGTAAAGATGTATTTGCAAGTTAATGACTATTTTGTTTTGAAAGGTCTTTTAAATTTACGGTTTGAATGGTTAAATACAGTACTAAAGCAAACTCGTGTGTGGTGGAAGGACACTTGATTTTATAACTCATTGAAAAAATCTTGTCCAAAGACTGGAAAACACTTTTTAAAAGTAGCACTAGAAATTACTAAAATTAAGCTGCTTGAGAGACTGCTGTCAAATTAGAAGACGAGGACAAATGTAGTATCAGGAAGTATATTGTCTTTCTGGGCTTGCTTTTGAACTAAATGTTAAAAACTTTCTAAGATGTGATCTTTTTTCTACTATTGATCATTTATGTTAGTACATATAAAGGTAAAATTCTGTTTTTTTTATCTCAAGATATCATTTGAGAAGAAATGAATCATTAGAATTTATTTTGAAATGTTCAACACACTGAGGTATTGGTCAGTGCTTTAAATAACATTTTTAGATGATACCTTTGTTATATTGTCTTTCATCTTTTTACAAGAATAATGCTTTTTTATTTAGGTGAAATTCTGTAGTGCTTTACATACCTGTAAACAAATATTTGCCTTTAGGAAGGATGATTTAAGAGAAGACTGTGTGTGTTTCTGTTATGTAACCAGCCTACTCTAGCTGTCTTAGAGAACTAATGGCTGATTTTCACTGGCCAGTAGGTGTCATTGTAGAATGCCATAAATTGAACACTTGAGTAGGAATTACCAAATAGTTTAAAAAACACTATCCAAAATTAGCTTCTAATAGTATCTGGATGAGTTAAAATTATATAGATTCTGTCTTTTGAAAGATTTCAGTGTCAAAGCTACTAGTAAATAATTTGGAACTGATTATAAGGAATTTTTTTTTTCGCTTACTTCAAATGTATCTTGAAAGTTTTCCTTTTTAATATAACCCTTAAGCTGCCCCTCTCTTTCTCTTCTTTTATTCAGACTGTCTCACTCTGTAGTCCAGGCTAGCCGTAAACTCACAGATACTCATCTACATTTGCCTCTTGAATACTGAGATTAAAAACAGGTACCACCACGACCAGTCCTTAAAGCTTTCTTAATAGGCAGTTTAGATTTGTTTTGTTGTTGTTAGTACACAGATTTGACATCTTATTGTAGTATATTAAGTTCTGGAATGATTTTCAGCCTGATTGACCTTTATTATAGAAAAAACCAGTACTACGTAGTTAGAATTAACTGCTTTCCATCAATCATTTTCTAAAATGATATACTGTGGGCAGAAGCCTCAACCATATTGTACTGTCAACTACACAAAATAATATTTTGTTGTTCTTTTAGTGCCAGAACAACAGAAATTTTGTGTTTCATTGTTCACTTTCTTTTGCCAGCCCAGAATAGTTTTCTTTTACGTTTGTCTGGTTAGTAGCCTATGTACTCTCCTGACGTAGGAACTGACTCTTCCTCCGTGTCTAAAGTGTAACGTAGTGGATTCTGGTGAGTGCTGGCACAGAAACCCGTGAAGGTGGTGCACACCTGCTGTTAGTACTTCCTTGCACCATAGCCTACAGTTGAGCTTGTTCCTTTTCTAGCTCTGTTCCTTATGCCTGAAAAGGAGGGGCTTTGAGGGGCTGGGAGGTGGCTTAGGTATAGCACCTGTCATGCAAGTGTGAGGACCAGAATTGGGATCTCTAGGACCCATATAAATGCCAGGTGGCTGTTGGTGGCCAGTCGATAATCCCAGCATTTAAGAGCCAGAGAGCGAACCACCAGTGCAAGCTGGCTAGCTGGACCAGGCAAACTGGCAAGCTGGCAAGTTTTGGTTCAACTGAACACACCTCAGTGCATGTAAGGTGAAGAGCGAATGAGGAAGACACCGCGTCATCCTCTGGCCTTCACATTCATGCTCGTACACATACGTGCACCCACACACGGCAGCCACACCACGTACGTACACACTAAAAAGTTGGACCTACTTATGAGAATTCTCTATGAAGGTAGAGATATCTCAGAATAGTCCAGGAGGTTTTTGTTTGTTTGTTTTTGTTTTTGTTTTTTTTTTTTGTAAAAAGGACATATTCATATTTTTTAGTCTATCTATGCTTCCATTTAGAATCTTAATGATGGGAGAATATGAAGGAGGTAGAAGCATTTGGGGCAGGAGGGGAATCCCTGATTGATTTGGTTTACATCTGGCCTTCACTTTAGAATCTTTAATCTGATTCAGCTTCTGTCACTTGGGGGATGAACCAGTAACAGCAGCTTTAGCTGAGTGCACCAGCCTCGAAATCTGCCAATACTTTTTAGCTCAATAAACTGTTTTTATTTGATGTCATAGCCACAGTAGCTTTTCTAGCCAGAAGCTGAAGTCACCAGAAATGAAAATGTGCTGATGGCCTTGGTTTGGATTAGTTTTTACTTGGCTTTCCATAAGTTTAATTGCTTTTCATAAGTCAAGCAATTTTCTTTCACAAATTAGTCGTATACTAATTAATTTGCAAAGATTTTTACTCATCTTATTTTTCAGAATGTGTCAGAAAGCTATATTGTTTTAGAATTAAATTAAAATTGAGAAATAAGAATTGCAAATTTAGCTAGCTAGTGGTAGCACACACACACCTTTAATCTTGGCACTCAGGAGGCAGCTCAGGCAGATCTGTGTGAATGCCAGGTTAGCCAAGTCTGCACAGAAAAACCCTGTCTTGAAAAAAACTTTGAAAGAAAGAAAAAAAGAAATAAAGAAAATTACAAGTTAGTTTTCAAATTAAACCGTTTTCAGTAGATATTTGATAAATGATATGTAGTAAACTTAGAATTGCAAATCTTTTGACCTTGACATGGGTCAAGTTTAGAAGTTTATGGACTTCAGACATAATGTTTAGAGATTTGGGTGTTTGAGAAAGTATGAGAAAAAGTAAATGGAAAGTATAAATTCAACTGTATAATATGTAAAGCTGCGTGATTTAATTATTCATAAAGTTATATGATGGCTCAGAGGTTAAGAGCACTGGCTGCTCTTCCAAAGGTCCTGAGTTCAACTTCCAGCAACCACATGGTGGCTCACAACCATCTATAGTGAGATCTGGTGCCCTCTTCTGGCTCCAGGTGTACATGCAGGCAGAACATTGTACACATTAAAATTTTATAAATTTAAAATTTATAGTAATTTTTAGGTTTGAGGATTAATTGTCACAATAATAGTCAAATGTGTGGTAAAGGGCACTGACAGTGAATGGCAAAGATGGGTCACTGAATAGTCACTATGTTGTAGCTTTCAAGAAATTTACCTAAGTTAATTAATTAATTAATTGTCCATCACATGACTTTCTTTCTTTCTTTCTTTCTTTCTTTCTTTCTTTCTTTCTTTCTTTCTTTCTTTCTTTCTTTCTTAATTTTTTGGAAACAGGAATCACTGTGTGGCTTTGGCTGACTGTGAATTCATAAATATCCTGCCCTTTCCATAGTGCTGGTAGTATAAGTGGCACTACCACACCTGGGTGTATCTTCTCTGTTATCGTCTTGTTAATATATTGAAGCTAGAATCCTGATATTATCATTTTTGTTGTTTGCTTTGCTCTGAGGTTAGTTTGAGATGGATTTCAGTAGTAGTTCAAGCCTGTCTTCTGAGTGATGGCAGTGCCTCATACCTGGCTTGGTAATGTTTTCTTTAACAATCTGTTAATGGGACTTCAAATGTAGTTTGGTGAGTAGAATGTTTGGCTGGGTTTAATCCCTAGTATGTCATAAGCGAGACATAGTGGCATACACCTGTGAGCCGAGTTTAGCTATGGAACTAGTTTGAGGCCGCCTTCATAGGTTACAGAGACCCCGTTGCCTCTTATTGAAGTAATTCTTTGTTCTTAAAAACAACAAACAAAAAACCATTTGTTACTTTGCATGCACATGTGCTTTGGAGGAGATGTGTGTGGTGAGAAGACAACTTTGAAGTTCTTTTCTTCCACTGTGGGTTCTGCAAGCTCAAACTCAGGGGTATATGGCAAGCACCTTCTGAGCCATCTCATCAGCCCATATATCCTTGGTTCTGTTGGCTTTTTCTTCTGGTTTATTATTTACTTAGTTTTATTTTGCATCAGGATCTCATGTCCTGAATACTGGCCTTGAAATC